CCAAACTAGTTCTTGATTTCTACTGGCTGTTGCACTGCAAGAACCGAAGTTCCGCCAACTTCCCCGCTTCCCCGCGCCTGATTCGTTTGTTCTTTTGGGGATCCCATGGTGTGGTGGCGAAGATTGTTCGACTGCCCATAGATAGGACCTCCGTTGGCAGTGATAGGATCTATCAACCTTGAACCCTGTGGTTGTCCTCTCCGATTCCCACTCAAGCTTGCTGTTCTTCAAGGCGATTCGGCGGCTGTTGCAAGAAGTTGAGGACAAGCTGCTTTGAAAGCTGCACCTGGGGATCTTTCAACTTGAGTTGCCTGTGATGTTGCTTAGAGTAGATAGGAACCTCGATAGTCCGTTTATATGCGGAACTGAGAGTTTCTTTGATGTCAGTCAAGGATACTTACATGATATCCAAGCATATGATTGACAACAACATTCATACATATTTCACATGTCCATCTCTCTTTTGGTATTGATTTCTTCAACTTCCGTCAGATGTTGTAACTTCGTAGCGAAGGCTCTGGCAGAGGCTGTGCTGCCTGGCTCGGTGTGTGCCGATTGCGGTTTCAAAACTCACTGGAGGCGCCTGAGGTGCCAGATGAATCGCATAGCGACAGCGGTTGCCAAGCAGTTCTTTGCTCACTATTTATAGGTTCATGATAGCAATTTCCTCATATCTTAAATTGATATATATATATAAACAACACGAGACTCAGCAGAAGACTCAACCAGAAAGGAGGACTCAGAACCAAACTTCAAAAACAAGAACTAAATGGAAAAACCAACAAATCTACTGTACATTGATTGTTCTTATTTGGTTTTTCTTTGAGTCTGGATTTGTTTTCTTATTTTGTATGGATTTGTTTATGTATGTTTTTCTTTGTCCTTTTCTTGAGTGTCAGTTTGTTTTTGTTTTGTTGTTCTTTCTTTTTTAGAGTCTCTCCTTTTTGGTCATTCTTGATTTGTTTTTCCTTTTTTCCTTGATTTTGGACCTGTCTGATAAATTCGTGTTCACAATGATAGGTGGAGTGGTGGAATCGGCCAGTGTGCGACTTGCTGGCTGAAGTGGCCGTGCACCCAGAATTTCAACAGACATGAAGCAACATTTCAATGCACAGACATACGCGCTTCGGATTCCAGGTGCAGAGGCCTTCAAGAACATGCCAGGCACCTTGGTACATTGTTCAGTGGAGAAGATGTTTGACTATTCAACATCATTCAACCGTTTTGTGACTGATGCAGGACCCATTATTGTGGTTCCTGGGAAGTGAGTGCAGATCAAAGCATGGCAGAATGGAAAAGTGATGAAAAGTGCCGCGCTAGCTTCACTGCCAAACTGACAAGTGGTTGATGGGATCTTGGTGTAATGCCCTTGTTGCTAGTAGCTTCTTGCTAGATATCGCGATGCACTTGTTACTAGTACCTGATGCAAGCGTTCCATGAAAGAACAAACGCATGTCGCGTGAACTGCGTCTGTCAAGCCGAAGGGAACCGTGGCACGCGACCGCCTGTCGTGTTTGGATGTGACCGCGAAGCCAGACTGCGAAACCTTCGTGTTTGACGGCTTTCAGAGAAGCCAGACATGGTAGATATATGTAAAGCTTTAAAGTGTTTTTTGCCCGATTGCAGCGCATCTTTTTTATTTTTTTGACCAAGTCAACTTTCCCAGAGCCGAAACATATAAACAAATTCATGACTGCCAAGGGTTATATATTTGTCAGTGCCTACCCCATTTGCGAGTGTGCAAATGCGAGTTGCCAGTGTGGATTTGATGCAGGGAAAGCCACTTCTTACTGTCTTGCAGAAACCGTTCTTGCCTTGTTGGGGCATGCGCTTCGATCGAAACACCGTGCTTTGTGTGAAACAGCTTGAAGCTCTCCTTCCACGTTGCTTGTTGCCGCATGCATTCTTGTGTTGCACTTGGCCCACTTCCCGATTTCCCGGCAAAGCTTATGCGATTGCCTTGTCCTCATTCCAGCCGTGAAAGACCATCCAAGCTCGAAATATAGCCGGCAAAGCGTCCCAGCGTTGAAAAACTGACGTTTTTGGGCATCGCATTTCTTTTTCTGCGACTTCGAGAAACACTTTGCTTGTTGCAGAGAAAGCTCTGTGGCCAGTTTCCAAAAAGCGGATCACCCCCCCCCCCACCCTTATCGTTTCAATGGGGGCCAAGGACATTAAAGCAATAGCAACGGCAAACAGAGAAACAAATATCCTGATGTTTACTTTTCGCTTTTCCCGTGCGAAGAGGTAGAGGTGTTTTGCTAAAGCTTGTGTTAGTTCTCACGAAAGGTAGCCCTGAAGAGGGAATACCTTGAGTTTGTCGAAGCAAGTGTGGGCTCCTCTGGATCTAATAATTGATAGTTCAATTCAACCCCCCCCCACCCTTATCGTTTCATCCCGAAGTGGATCACCTCGACACCTCGATGGTTATTTGGTGTTGAGCACTCTAAGCTTGGGGCAGTGTTTGAGTCCATGAAGAGACATCACATGTTGCTTTTAGTGCTTCTTGCCGTTGAGGATTATCATACCACACTGCATATTTTACATGCTTCTTCTCCTCCCGCTGTCCTACCTTTCGTGTATCCCTCTTCTCAAGTAATATGTCGATGAACAAGAGCGGAGAACATCAAAGCCTCTGGCAAACTCTAGGCATCATACACTTTGGCACCTAAAGTGTGGACTTAGAGGTACTGTATTTGCTTGTGGAGGCATGACGTTCTGTTTTTGATGTCCATTTTAATTACCCACTGTGAATGGACTTACACAGCTGGTCTGCATCCGGCCGCAGCACGTACGGTAGGGTGGACTGGCAAATCTGTGTCCCGCAAAGTGAGATTGTTGCGGTACTTTGTATCATTCTTGGTGAGGTAGTTGAAGGCCATCGCTATTAGGTACTGCTGCAAGACTGCTCTCACCAGTCACAGTTACGCCCACGCCTGAACATCCCATGGCTGCACGGCCTTGAAGTCACCGCAAGTGGCTTTTGTTTGGCATCGCAATCGCTTTTTCGTTTCTCCGTTTACCAGTCCGGAGGGGTGGTCACACAGGTGTGGTTCGCTCCGCGCATTCCCACGCTCCAGGAAGTCAACCATTGCTCCATACTGCTCCTCTGGTCTTTGACACCTAGTGCTGACCCACACTGCCATGCAAGGCTCTGTCAGCAGGAGACGTCTCCTGGTTTGTTCCACTGCGTTTGTCGCCCAGGTGTCTCGGCTTCTTGGTCAAACCATGGCTGTCCGGACTCTGACGGTGTCAGGGCTGAGGGTGGCATTCTGAATGATGCCTTGTGCTTGTTTTGATTAGTAAGCCAGGCCTGCCAGGCTTACCAAGTGTCGTAAGTGAGCCAGCCGCCACGAAGGACCTTTGTGAAACTGTCGTCAACAGTGGTAAAGTCGGTAAAGTCGGTAGAGTATCCTTGTGGACCCCTTTGGGGGGTTGTGCTGGGTATGATGGTTATCCTTTCACGTGGTTGCGTTCGTGTTGCTTTGTGCGAGCAGCGAATGAACTCCTGCATTTTTGTTTCTGCTAACAGGCTTTTCTTGCAACGAATGAGAGCGTGTGTGCCCCCCCAAACAGCGGGAGGCCCCCAATCTTACAACCAGCAACCAGTATGTGCGAAAACGCTGTGGTGGTTATAGGGCGTCGGCATGTACGCCTTGTGGCATTGCGTCCCAGCAACGGCCCAGGCAACCCAACTTGCCAGCCTTGTGCTTGGGAACTCCATCGCTACTAGGAGCAAGGACGCTACTGGGAGCTCCTGGCCGTACTACTAGGAGCAAGGACGCTACTAGGAGCAAAGGGCATCGCTACTAGGAGCAAAGACGCTACTAGGGCCGTGACCCTTCAAGGCTCGAAGGACTCAGCCAAGAGACGTCTTGCTTTGCCTACACGGTTGTCACTCTTCCAGTGTTGGCGGCGTTTGGAACAACCTGTGTTCAGTTGCTTTGCCCAGCACGCATTCAAATTACCAGTCTTTATCGAAACTAAGGACTTGGTAGGATCAAAAGGGAATCGCGCCAAAACAAGTACTCCCAGATGAACATGTGGCGTCAACCAATAAACAACCCGAGCATAAAAACATGTTCAAAAGCACGACGCAACGATTTCCCACCGTCAAGCCTATCATCTGTGGGCCAATGAGGCATCGGGCGGCCAGGGCACGGCTCACAAAGGACCAGGCGCTCCGCGTGTCAATTTCAACGTCGTCTCCACTTGCGACTGCAAACACCACCAAAGCTGTGGCTTCGCACTCTGCAATCTCTTTTGTCACGTTGTCCTTCTAACGAGTTTCCTTGCCACGAAAACGTGCTTGGTGCTGTTTTGGGATTTCATGCGCATGCTCCGCCTGTGTCAACGCCATGGGCGTGGATTCTTTGAGCACCTGGTCTCGCTCCAGCCCCTGGAGCCGTCGTACGACACTTGCAGTCACTCTTCGGCTGCCGCCGCATACCGCGAGCAGCCGGAGTTCGACAATGATTTGGTCGAACTGCTGGACCGCACTATGTGCCGCGCCCCCACTGGACTACACCTCACATGGCTGGAATGGGTGTGCGGTCGGTGTGGCTGCTGTGCGCGCCCCAACCATGCACTCCTAAACGGAGTGACACTTGGCGACGACTATGCGCGTGGTGGATGTGCCTGGGAACGTGGATGGATCTGCGCCCCTGCCCTGGAGCGTCTCCCGGCTTTGCGTGCACCAGTTTCCTCACCGCTGAACAGCTGGTTTTTCGTCCAGGGCCTACCTGACATAGTTTCTGAACCCAACTATATAGACTAAACAAACCAGTTTTTGGCGCCGACACCGTAGTTTCTGAACGCCCAGTTTCTGAACCTGTGGCTTTAGGTGTCCGAACCCCAGTTTCTAAACCGGGCCCATTTCTGACCTTGACTCTTTGTTCGCCCATTCTCCTCTTTGTTCCCAACCAGCTCACACACCAGCTCCACATGCTCTGTTTGACCTACTCGGCTCAGAAAACGCAAAACATCCGCGTTGACTGGAATGGCCTCACAATACCTTTGGATGGCACAAACCTGCAGCAGCAGTGACCAAGCCGCCGCATCGCGAAGCAGGTCGACAAGGGCGCACAAGCGGGGGCCACGCACATGTTGTTCCCAAACACTTTGCGCAGGAGTAACGAGAGGGCGCGCAGCGGCCACTTTATTAGTCGATTTGAAACATATTTGTTGGAGTCAGAAACTATGGGTTGGGAGGGTGGTGGGGGATGGGTGGGGGGTTAATGACGTTCGTTTGGATATGCTTCGGAGACGATGTCACGCTCAACGTTCCAACGTTTTCAACTTCCGAACCCGAGTTTCTGAACCCCGCATGCCCATGTATTTCCGAACCCAACGTATCCAGGCTTTTGAGCACGATTTCTTGTAGAGCCGACCTTGCCATTTGGTTTGCGAAACCCAGTTTGTGCCACGTTTCCAGTTTCCAACATTACCTTCCGAACCCGGCGTTGTAGTTTCCGAACCTAACGCCGACCCTGCATGGCAACGATGCTTGGCAAGAGGACCTCGCTGGTGGCGTCCAGACACTGAAAAATCAAACGACGGCAGTCGTCTTCCGCTGAGGCTGAGGGTGGAACGAATAGTCAATATTGATGCACAACATGCTGTTCATGGTGAGGTCGCGCGGCACAGCGCGCGGCTTGTGAACCGGTATGCAGCCTAGAGCAAGCTGCACGTGACGCCATTTCAAACACTTCACGGAGAAGGGGCTGCTTGCCTTTCAGTGGACGAACACAGTTCCAAGAACGAAAAGAAGGTTTTGTGGCGTTTGGCTGGACGAAGGTGGTGCCGACCAAAGCATCGACTCGTGTGGTCGGAGAGAAGTAGGCAAGGACAAGAGGAACACGTCGACCACGACCAGGCGCTCCCCATGCCAGAGCGGCAGCTTAACCCTTGATTGCAAGCCAAATGTCTCCAGCTCAGGGTTGCGAGTGCATTTTCTAGTTCGTGCTGTCCTTGGTGCTTGGCGGGGGTTCTCGTCAGTGTGTTTGTAATGTTTGTTTTTTGGCCTCCATGACGTCGAAGCGATATATGCTACCTTGCAGGTAGCCAATGTGATTGTTTTTTAAGCGTCGCCCGTTTTTAATGGTTCCTTGCTACGTTCTCCTCCTGGTCTTGGCCTTCAATGGCGGGGTGTGCTCTTTCTCGTCACTGCCATTTGGATGCCTCTGGTGGTGGAACTATTTCTGCCTTGCACTTCCGGTTTGTGCAACATCAGCGTCAGCGTCAGTGCTTGCCGATGTTGCTGCCACATAATGCTCACACATTGGCTCTGCGTTTGTGCGTTCGGTTCCTGTTGATGAGAGGGCCACCGTCCGGGCCACACCTTGTCAGAAAAGAATGCAGCACA